TGTACACATGAAACATTTCAGAGGAAGCTTAATATCTTTACACTGGAAAAGAAGAGTCTGGTTATCAGATGTGGAAGGTTCCAGGGAGACCTCACAGCAGCTTTCCAGTACCTGAAGGGGGCCTACAAGAAAGCTGGGGAGGAACTGTTTCTGTTTACAAGGGCATGTAGTGATAGGACAAAGGGCAATGACTTAAAACTTGAAGTGGGGAGATTTAGGTTAGACATTAGGAGAAAATTTCTTTAGTGTGAGGGTGGTGAGACACTGGAACAAGTTGCCCAGGGACACTGTGCCTGCCCCATCCCTGGAAGCATTCAAGGCCAGGCTGGATGGGGCTTTGAGCAACCTAGTGTAGTGGAAGGTGTCCCTGCCCATGCAGGGGGGTTGGAACTACATGATCTTTAAGGTCTCTTCCAGCCCTAGCCATTGTATGTTTCTATGAAAATTAATGTAATAAATTAAACATGTAAAGTGCTTTGAAATTATTTTTTAAATTAAGAGATTTATCTATATGTGTGCAGATATATGTATATGTATGTGTGTATGTATATGTATAGCCTATCTACATGCATATATATATATATATACTTATATCTAGATACACAAAGCAATAATCTTATCATGTCCTCTAACAATGCTTTCCAGAAGTATATTACAGACTCAGGAGGTCAAGCTGCTGCATAATTGAGTCAGGAGCTTTACAAAACAGTTTCAAAACATGAAATACTTAAGAATAATTTAAAAAAAAAAAAAAAAAAAAAGGTAAAACAATTGTTTTCCAAAGGTTGTATGAGAAATATTGGAAATATCTTTTTATATGTTATATAGCAACTACAGACATAAAAATACAGACCACAATATATAGCATATATTCTACTCAGGAATTACAGCACTGTTTTTCTGGTAAACTACCATTATCTTTCATTTCAACTTTAGACAACTTCTGAAGCCAAGAAAAGATCTGCAGTACACAGAGATATGTGGATCACAATTAACTAGGATGAGCCATCTAGTTTTGGAAGGGCTTCAAGGCGTTACTCGGGTAAGTTTGGAAAGTCAGTACACCTGTCTGAATATACACAAAATTTCTTTTCTTTCTCTGGTTACCTTATTCATAACATATGCAGAGATCTTAATTCTCCAGGCAATTAAAGAAGCATTTTGTTTCCTGTTATTAAACATTTCTCATTTTGTTACATCTTCAGAGGTCCTACTTTTATTTTAATAAACATAAGACTGTCTTTTGTCAGCTGACTAGTCTTTTCTAAAGAAAAGATCAGCACTTGTGGGCAACAGTTAGGAATCTTGTGATAAAAATGGACAGAATATCACCCAAGAGGTCATACTCACTTCTTCAATTTATATTTCCTAAACAAAACGTATAATATTATTATTTTTTCCCTTTTATTTTCCTTCTCAATATAGTCCCTAAATCTCACCTTAGCCCCTAAATACTCCTCTAAAATGAATATATTCTATATGATGCTGCAAAGTTCTCAGTGAATGCTTTCACATTGGATACAATACATGTTCAAGGAATCCTCAACTCAGCTTCCTAGAAAAATATATAATCATGACATTTCACGACAAGTCTCAGCATACATTTTTGTGCCAATATTATTTGCACATATAAAGGATGCAGAACCAGCCCCTTCAGAAACCACAATATCCACCTTTAAATGTATTTTTTTTTTGTATTATGCAGGTTTCAGAAAAAGGAAAGTTTTCAAGTAAAAATCATGTGTTAAATCAGTGTTGTGTATCCTAGATAGACCTAATAATTGCAGATCTCCGTTACTTAAAAAGGACTAAATAGCACTGAATTGTTTGTGTGATCATTTATACTCTTTTGTAGGCAGGAAGGAAACTTAAGCTATTATACTCAGATTATTAAATCAATCAGAAGGCTTAAAAAGAAGAATTTGTTACAAAAAAAAAAAAAAAAAAAAAGAGAGAGAGAGAGAGAAAGAATGAGATGGGGAAGCACTTATCAATCTGGTACTTTGATTTTTTTCTTCTTAGAAATCCTAACAGGAAATCCAAACTTCATATACTTCTCAAGCAAGGAATCATCTTACGGCCACAAAGATGATCAAGGGATTGGAGCACCTGACATATGAAGAGAAGCTGAAGGTGCTTGGACTGGTCAACCTGCAAAAGGCTCAGGGGGGATCTTATCGATGTATATGAATAATTGATGGGAGTGTAGGAAGTAAAGAAGATGGAGCCAGACTCTTCTCAGTGTTGCCCAATGAACACAAATTGAAATACAGGAAAAGTAAGAAAAAAATATTCTGAGAGTAGAACAGGTTGCAAAAAGAAATGGAGTCTCCATCCTTTAAGATACTCAACCCAAAACTGGACACAACCCTGAACAACATGCTCTGTGACACCCTACTTTGACCAGAGGGGGTTAGACTAGATGACCTCCAGCAGTGCCTGCCAGCCCCACTTATTCTGTGGTTCTGTGAGCATACAGTAAAAATATGAAGGAAAATGTTCACAAGCAGAAAGAATTCTCTAACATGGTAGCACGTTAACAGTTGCATCATGTCATCTATTGAAGATATGGCAGTCCTTTCTTTGTAGGGTTTTTACAGTGGTTTTGGTATTCATTCACAATGTAGATACAAATATTCATTGATTTGCACTCTCAAAATCAGATCGTAAGGCTATTTTTACACTTGCCTGTCTATAAAATACTGAGATGGCTGTCATGATGTTTCATACCTTTGTTGAGTCATACTCCATTGAACATTATACACCAGAATACACTGCAAGTGTCAGTGTTTGCTTTTTTTGTGCTATGTCAGACTCAGCACCACCACAAGGGGAAAAAATCACATTCACCCCTTCTGTTGTAGTAAGCTATGTAATGTGAAACCATTTCAAACTTAACAGTGATTTCATTTAAACCTTTCCGCTTTGTAAGACTCACAAAGTACTACCATCCTAAAAGGATTCAATGAATTATGATCTTACATATGCCTATTTACTTTAATGTTTAATTATTTTCTTCTTTCTTTTTTTTTTTTTTTTAATCATCATTTTAAAAAGGTCTACATCTGGTTTTGTGGGCTGATATTCTAAGAAATTGTATCTTTGCTTTTAGTACCTTGTATTTTTATCATTAACTTGTTATGACAAGCTTTAAAGGACTAGAGAGGAATTGGATACTTTAGGCATGAGCTATGGTTTTAAGCTGCTTTCTTAGAACAACAACAAAAAAAAAGGCAAAAATTCCCAACCCAGAAGATATTATATCAAGAGGCAATCTGCTCTTATATATTAACTGTAACACAAAACCCCAAACGATACTGTTTACAAAGGTTTTTTTCCTGTCTCTCTCTTTTCAGCTTGCTTATTTGTCTCTGACTTCTTTCATGTCATCTCCTTTCTACTTTTCACACACATTTTTTTCTTTGATATTTTCCTGCCTTACTTCCCTCAAATAATTTTCCTTTCCTTCTGCAGTTTTTGATCTCTCTCTCATAAAAACAAATGCTTCTGCCCTATAAAAGCTTAAATTCTTTCCCAAAAGACCCTTTCTATTATTTTTATGCTGCATTCGCAGCCAACTCTTATTTCATTTACTAAGTTTTATCCTGTAGCCCCTTTTGAATCTAATATTTAATCCCAATTAATTTTTTCTGCTGGTCACACCTGCCCTTACAACCACTGAGAGTCCTATTTCCCCAACACCCTCACGTTTACCTGCACTCAGTTTCATCCTTCCTTCCCTCTGCTTACTTTATAAAACTCCCTCTTAACCAACCTTAGTTGTCTGACTTCTCTTCATTTTGTCACTCCTCTTAATCTTTAGCCTTTTGAAAAGCTGTAAATTCCTAATTAAACATTTCTGGCTATGTGTCTATCTCACTATGTAAAGTAGCTCTGAAGCCCTAAGGCAAAGAGACACGGCTCCACTTTTGTCCACAGAGCTAAACTCTCTTCACTTTCCTCCCTCCTCCAGACAAGACACTTGTATCCAAACTGCCAACAGTTTCTGGCATGTGGTATTTCCTGAACTGTGCATTTTTTTTTAGAATGTTAGTCAGCTATGACCAAAACCCTGCCAAGGATCATGTTCTTACTTCAACAGGCATGTGATCACGGGCTCATACTCAAATGTCTACCTATCTATCCAGTCTCCAAGACCCAGCAACCTTCCTCTCTATTTGGATCCATCTAGTTTATTATCTCCCCCCTGCCTTGAAGAAAATCAGTACTAGACGTTGAGCAGTGCAACCAAATATGGAAGAAGTGGAAGTTCAGGTGAGCTTTGCTGAAGCAAGGGTGAGAATTCAACTCATCTGTAACATGAAGAGAGAGAATGTGGCACCACCACTAACAGCTCAACTGTTGGGAATTTCCATTTTCAGGTGGCTCTGTTCATCTCCTTCCTGGACCACAGCCTTTCTTAATTTAACTATGTCTAAAAGCAAGACACTATAATAAATTTTAAAAGAAAATAGTAGTTTGAGAAACATATTGTTACAGGACTTTACATTAGTATAAGGCCTCAGGAGATGTATTAAAATAGAATTTCAGGATGAAAAATTAAGAAAGACGTGTGTGCAGCACGGAGTTATTTTAACTAACTTGGTTTCTTCAGGCAACTATATTCATGATGACATTATCTAATCAAGCAAAGCAGCAAAAAATCAGATTATATCTGATCTATTAAAAATGAATAAGGAGATTATTGTCTAATGATAGGTAATTCATGCTTTGAAAAGGTTTTTGTTTATAAAAAAAAAAAAAGAACAGAGGGAAAACATTATAAAGGATTATTATTTGCGCAGTTATTTGTATTTAAAGTACTGAGCTGCCACAATTTCTATTACACACCATACATTTGTGTATCAATAATGTCACATTACAGGAACTCTGTTGTGATACCTGGATGCTGGCTTCCTAGAGTCTCAGTTTATTAACAAGTGTATATAAGCCATGAATTCAAAAGATTGTCCATGTGAAGATGTTTCTAGTGCTCCTACCTGTTGGCGGGATGATTCCAGGAGACATTAGGCCTGGGACAGAATGTGGCATGATATGAGAATTCTCTGGGGATGTGACACTCTGAGTCCTCTTAGGAGGCCTTCCAGGTCTAGAACTGAAACAAAGAAAAAAAATTTTTACAATTAAGCTGTTGTCTTACACATCATTTCAAAGTTGTTTCAAGTGGTAACATGGACTGTAAATAAATTTGTTTCAAGGACGGTTGCTTTTGCAGTTAGATGTAATAGACTTCCATCACTAATTAGATTACATGCTGAATTCATTTTCCTCATTGAAGATCAGCCGCTCTTGATGCATAATTCATAGCCTGCACCTCGTTACCTGCTTCTTCATATTAATATCTATACACAGTTTGAATTGCCTCGTTTGCATATGCTAAAGTTCTGCATGCAGCCTTCAGCACGAAAATTATGCACTAACTTGTAATAATTATTACAGTCAGCCTGCTATTGATTTATGAGACTTTTAAAAACCAAATATGTGTAGTACTTGTAATGAATGATATTTTAAGGTTCTTCAGGAAATTAAAAGGCAATGGCTGCCTAAGGAAATGTTCTGCTTGTTTGATTTAATACTACAGTTAGCTGGGAGGTGGAATGAAAGAGTGATTCAGACCTATAGCACATTTTTCGATGATATGTTTTATTACTTCGCACTGCTAGCCTGATATCTAGATGATAAATGACAATACATATCTAATGTGTGAAAAGGTCTTGCAATTTCTTTATTTTTTGTCATTTAAAAGATAAGTCAAGTTATCATTTAACCCTTATTCTATTTCAAGTGAAAATCTCACTAAGGCACCTTACTTTAAATATACTACTTTACGTCAGAAAGGACTCAGAATTTTTTGTACGATATTGTTGAGCAAGTGCCATCACTGCTGCTTACATCTGTCCAGTATGAAAAAATAAAGGCCTTCAGGTTTAAGAACTCCCTGTCTGTTAAATGCTCACATACACAACTTTCCATCTCCTGGACTGTCTAAGTAGCATACAAATTAGATGCGGATTACAATGAAAATACTTAGTACCCACTTACATGCCCATATGTACTTGTAATATACAATGCATATCCAAAGGCCTGTATCCTTCTGTACAGCTCATAGCACTATGCTACTGCAATACTCTGCAACTACTTGTTTAGGGGACATGGAGGAATGACTTCACAGAAAAGGATACATGCAGTTCTAACACCAGGGTATTAACCTTTGCTTTGCCAGGTATTTCAGGTTCTTCATTTGTTTCAGAACAAAAAAAAGAAAAGAAAGCTAGCTATGGAAAGCTTTTCTACTTAGTTCCTCACACTAAAAAAAATCTTCGCAAGAATGAGGTCATTTTTAGCTATGGTGGGACTACAGAAGGAGGCAGATTAAAAAATGCCTCTATTTTCCATTCAGATTCATTCCCCTTGTGTTTGGAAGTACCTTTTTTTTTTTTTTTTTCAACTTCTACAACCTACCTTTAATAAACCAAAACCAATCCAACTACAGGGCCTTTTCTATGAGTTTAATGACTCAAGGCATTGTGTCATTAACCTTAACTGATCATTAATTCCTAACTTAATGTCCTGAGCTGAGGTCATTATAAAAATTATAAGCTTGATAATTTCTTTGATTTGTTTGAGATTATTTTTTTTTTAATGCAAACAGAATCATCATATGTTCATCATATGTAGAAAAAGAATATTATCTTATTCCAGCTCACAGAACCAAATTAAGTGTCTTCCATTTATCTTTGAAATTTCCTTTGTGATTTACAATAAAAATAAACATACCATGAATACACATAAAACCTATAAAAACATTATAGACAAAAATGATCTGATTTAAATGAAGTGTTTCTAATATATTCACCCACCAAAAAAATGCCACTATGTAAGGAAACTTTAATGGCTTAATTTAAATACCTATGATGATGCACTCTTTTCAAATGACTGCTGTGATGTGAGTATGGAAGGGTCTGACAAGAGCATAAAAAACACAAGCAGGATGCATGGCATAATACACAACCTACCAATAACTTCCAAGACTGAAAAAACAACAGGTTCACTCCTACAAAGACACTGATGCTCACTACAAATACAGCCACGGCAAAGTGTTAAGTCTTTGACTTTGATGAATAAAACCACCCCTCTTTGGAGCCTAAGAGCTTACCAATGGACCAAATCTGTAACTGAAGGTTACAAGTGAGTGATATTGAAATATCCAAGGCCAAACTCTTAATTTGGTCACCTTCTACAATCAAGTTGATAGAGCTACTCTGTAGAAAATTTCAAACACTCAAAAGCATAAATGAGCTCAGTAAACCAACACAGTAACCCAATAATCCAAACTTTACCAAATAAGTACTCTTGTGAAGTCCTAAACTCCCAATTCCAATCCCACTAGCAATATTTAAATAAAAATTCTGAGACCTAAATCTCTTAAATCTTGATATAATTTTTAAGTGACAAAGAACTCACTCCACTTCACTATGAAAAAGCCTTTATCTAAGAAATGTTTGCTCCTTATGAGTCTGGAGGGTCTGATTTAGAGACACAGCAGACTATGCAATACACAATTAAAACAAGTACATCTCTAAATGAATCAAAATCAGTGAATTTGTCTTCAGTATGAAAATAAAATATAATTTTAATAGCTAAGAGCTGATCTGTTATGCAAAAGACATATTGAAATGCCAGAGCAATGTACATTACTTTTCTAGTTGATGTCACTGAGATACCAAACATTTAAAAACTGTCAATAATACTCAAATTTAGATTTGATATCAAAGTTTTTATAAAGATACAAAAGATATTCTAAGATTTTGTCTTTTATCTGAATAAAATAATTCTAAGAATGTCACCAGTTCTTCTGAATATGTTCGACTTCTTAAGGTAACGCTAATTATCTCAGTTGGTAAACTACTCAACGCTGACCCATTTTAATTTTGAAGATGATACAGATTGAATTTTTTAGAACTAAAATAAGCAAGCTGAAGTGCCAAATTCCAAAAAGCCAGATAAGTCTTGTGAATACCTAGGGTCATAGCATGGAGAAGTCAAGGAGTCTTTTAGGACTCTGCAAGAAGACAGCAGAAGAAACAGTCCTGCATCTGTTAAGTCATAGCTGGCCTTCCTCTCAACTATTTCATTTTTTGAAGATTAAGTTAGAGAGACCAGAAATTAGACAATTTCAACAAAGATTCAAGGAAGCCACAATGATTACATGTTTTCAAGACCTGAGGAGAGGTCAAAAGAAATTAGCAGTTCCTTGGTTACCCACTAAAAAGAAGATATAACAGAAACATTGTCACTCTGCTTTTATAAATATAACTGTTAGATTTTTTTCTCTAGAATTAAAGTTTTCATGTGTGAGATATCTTAATATATGATGAAGAAGAAAATGAAAGCTTTGTCCAGAACCATGTATTACTAACTTAGTACTCAGTTTTTAAAGTAAAGCACCTAAAATGCATTTAATTCCCTTAAAACTCGTCTGCCTTATATAGCTTTGTGTGAGCTTTGTATCAAAATTTGCAGACTTTTTCAGGGCTCAGAAGACATTCCCAGAGACCATTGAGCTTTATGTTTGTAGACAACTACTATAATTTACAATCTCAATATACCATTATGTGACAGGGGAACTAATTTGCAAACTGAAACTCTCAAAAAGACAGGCTAATATCTACTTCATTAGCAGCAGCAAATTAGATATTCAGAATACTTTCTAGAACCACTGAAAATAAATCCACCATTTTCTGGTCAGTTTTGTATTTCATCCGTCCAACTTTCCCAAGTATGGCTCTAGCATATTTGTCTTTCAGGGAAAGGGTGTATACCTCTTCTGCACTGTGACTGGCATGGAAGTTACAAAATAAGAGAAGCAACTGAGAGTTTATTGTCCCAAATTACAGCAAGTTCTCTGAAGTAGTTCTTTATTTGCCTTTAAATCAACATGGTACTTTTACATCCTTCCTGTGTTACTGAATCTAGACATCTACAGATGGCTGAATTAAAGAAAAAAATAATAGAAGAATCAGTGGTTATTAGCAGCTAAAATGCTGTGCCTTGATTATAGATTTAAAGGTTTATACACCTCCAATTGTATTATCAAAGTATGAGCTTGCTCCTAGAAATCACACTGACATTAAAAGGAGACATAATCAGCCGAAGATCTTGCATGGAAAGAGACAACTGGTTTATCTGCAGGCTTTAAAAGCAGGCAGACTTTTCATTCACCTGTTTTCACTACTGCCAGAAGATAGCCATGGCTTTAAAACTTCAGGGTCTCATCCTTGAAACCCTTAGACACATAGACCTCCCACCGATTTCTGATAGAGTTCTGAGAATCCAGGAAGCTATTGGTTCCAAACCATCTGATACTCTTCAGTAGTAGCATATACCTCTCAGAGTATGCAACTAGCATTTTATAGATGGCTGATTGCATGGCAAAACACGTGCTGTAAAGTGAAAGGTGTACAATAAAATTGAGACAATGCTGTGATTTCTCTTTCTCATGTTCTCACTTTGAAAAATAATTGTGTGAATTTAACTCTAGATGAACAAAGTTTCGCTCTTTTAAATTACTTTTATTCAGTATGTGAAGTATCCCTAAAGAAAACAGCAAATCTGATCAGCTGTAAGAAGGCAAACTACCTTTCTAATGAAACATCATTATTTTCAGGATCAGTTTTCTACATTTACAGTGTTATTTTTAACCTTGTCTGTGAGCAAGTTTAGCACACAGAAATATTGTCCTTATTTGAAACTGAGCAAACATGATGCAGTGGAGCTGCCATCAGCCAGGCATTTTTATAATCAGTAATACTGGGGGGTGGCAGGGAGAGTTACACTCCGGGGGTGATAGGCAGCAAATCTGTAACAAGTATTTGGTGTATTTATTTAATGTATTTTTTATGTTCTTAGAACTGCTTAGAACAGCTTTGAATATCAATATCAATTTTAGCTACATCAGCATTTATGCATCTCATTTAGATACATACTGAAAATCTAGGCTTTATTTCTCAGTTGTTCTTCCTTCCCTCAGTGTTTCAAAGCCTGACACAGAATTTCTGACCTCAGAGAAGCTGGTTGAATGAAATTCAAGGAACA